GTTTTATGATTTAATACAATTGTTGTTTAGACTCTTTTCCATCCCATGTACTGTAGCAGTCCAGACTTCCCTGTCCTCCACCATCTACCGGAGCTTGCTCAAACTCATGTCCATTGAGTCGATGTTGCCATCCAACTGTCTCATCCACTGTTTCCCTTTCTCTTCTTACCATCAGTTTTGCCCAGCAACAGGGTCTTTTCCAGTGAGTCAACTCTTGGCATCAGGTGGCCAGAGTATTGGATCTTCAGCTTCAGCATCAGTCCTTCCTATGAATATTCAGGGTTGCTTTCTTTAGGATTGAGTGGTTTGATCTCCTTGCAGTCCAAGGGTCTCTCAACAGTCTTCTCCATCACCACAGTTCAAAACCATCAATTCTTTGGCACCCAGCCTTTTTCTGGTCAAACTGTCACATCCACACATGACTACTGGGAAAACCACAGCCTTGACTAGACAGACCTTTGTCAGTCAAGTAATGTCTCTGCTTTTTACTGTGCTTTCTAGGTTGGTCATAGCTTTTCTTCCAAGGAGGAAGTGTCTTTTGGTTTCATGGCTGCATTCACCATCTGTAGTGATTTTGGAGCCCGGGAAAATAAAGTCTGTCACTGTTTCCATTGTTTTCCCATCTATTCACCATGAAATTATAGGACTGGATGCCATTAGGTTCATTTTTTGAATGTTGAGTTTCAAGCCTGCTTTTTCATTCTCCTCTTTCACTTTTATCAAGAGGCTCTTTAGTTCCTCTTTCCTCTACCATAAGGGTCGTGTCAGCTGCATATCTGACGTTATTGATATTTCTCCCGGCAATCTTGATTACAGCTCAGGCTTCACCCAGCCCAGAATTTCACATGATGTACTCTGCATAGAAGTTAAATGTGTGACAATATACAGCCTTGATATACTCTTTTCCCAATTTTGAACCAGTCCACTGTTCCATGTTGACTTCCAACTCTTCCTTCCTGACCTGCCTACAGGTTTCTCAGGAGGAAAACAAGGTGGTCTCGTTTTGCCATCTCTTTAAGAATTTTCCACAGTTTGCTGTGATCCACACAGTCAAAGGCTTTATAACATGGTCAATGAGGCAGACATAAATGTTTTTCTGGAGTTCTCTTGCTTTTTCTATGATCCAACAGAAGTTTGCCATTTGATCTCTTGTTCTTCTGCCTTTTTTAAATCCAACCTGTACACCTGGTATTTCTTGGTTAACATACTGTTGAAGCCTAGCTTTAAGGATTTTAAGCATTTTGAGCATTACCTTGCTAGCATGTGATATGAGCACAATTGTGCAGTAGTTTGACCATTCTTTGGCATTGCCCTTCTTTAGGATTGGAATGAAAACTGACCATTTCCAGTTCTGTAGCCACAGCTGAGTTTTCCAAATTGGCTGGCTTATTGAGTGCAGCACTTTAACAGCATCACATTTTAAGATTTAAATAACTCAGCTGGAATTTAATCACCTCCACTAGCTTTGTCTGTAGTGATGTTTCGTGAGGCCCACTTGACTTCGAATTCCAGGAAGTCTGGCTCTAGGTGACTGATCACACTGTCGTGATTATCTGGGTCATTAAGACATTTTCTGTATAGATCTTCTTTGTATTCTTGCCACCTCTTCTTAATCTCTTCTGCTCTGTTAGGTCCTTACCATTTCTGCATTTCATGTTTTAATACAATAGAGCTAAGACATACTGAAAGGCAAGGCTGATCTTATTGCAGGTGATCCACACATCTCGAACTGAGATCCCAAGGAACTCATGAAAGTTCTCTTCCAAATTAAGACAGCAGTTAAAGTTCCACCTATTCGTTTTTTGCCTGTAATTGTTTGCTTGAGCCTGGTAAAAACACTGCTTTCGTTCTTAACAGAAACGTTACAAATCTAAGTGATGAATATGCTCATTACTCTCTGTCATAGGCTGAACTGTGCGCCCCCCTCCAAATTCACATGTTGAGGCCCTAAGCCCAGCAGTTCAGAATGTGCTTCTGCTTGAAGATAGGGAGTTTAAAAGGATAATTAAGGTTAAATGAGGTCATATGAGTGGGCCCTAATTCATTCTGACTGTGGTTCTTATAAGAAGAGGAAGTTTGGAGAAATAAAGGGATGCAGGTTTGGGCATGCACAGGGAAGGTGCCATATGAAGATTCAGGATTAAGACCACCATCTACAAGCCAAGAAGAGAGGCTTCAGGAGAAACCTGACCTGCTGACACTTTAATCTTGGACTGCCAGCATTCAGAACTGTCAGAAATTGAATTTCTGGAGCTTTCTTGGTAGCTTAATAGTACAGAACCTGCCTGCTAATGCAGAAGACACAGGTTTGATCGCTAATCTGAGAAGATCCCACATACTGAGAAGCAACTACCCCATACACCACAACTGTTGAGTCTGTGCTCTAGAACCCATGGGCTGAAACAGTTGTAGGCTGTGTGCCCTGGAACCCATGCTCTGCAACAAGAGAAGCCACCACAATTAGAAGCTTGTGCACTACAACTAGAGAGTAACTGCCGCTCACCACAACTAGAGAAAAGCCTGTGCAACAACAAACACCCAGCACAGCCAAAATAAATTTTAAAAATTATTTTTAACAACAGAAAATGAATTTCTGTTGTGCATGCTAGCCAGTCTGTGACACTTTGTCTGGCAGCCCTAGCAAACTAATACCTGTTTCTTCTTTTGGATCTTTGCCTCTTCCTAGTGATGTAACTCCAGAAAATGGGGATCTGCTTGAAGGAAATGGGAGAAAACTATACTTTGGTAGATACATGTTTGCCTAAAAACTCTGTCTCCTAGCTTAAAATTTGGGAGTTTTTCTGAGGAAGACCTCTGTGGCAGATCCTGCCCATGTCCCCTCTCCCTCATGGCGATGGCACATACCAGCCAGACATTAAACTGCCAGCATCTCATCAGTGGCTTGGAGAATTATTCCTCATGCCTGAAACCTACTTTGTCAGTGCTCAAGCCAGACTGAAAATGTCAGAGAATTGATGCTTCATGACCCATAGGAACTGGAGTATAAATACCCCAGCTCCCTCATCCTCAACCATGATAACTCAGATAACTCTCCATAGGCTTGTGGAGTTCTCCAGCAGGATAAAGCTCCCTTAATCTTTCTTGAAATGCACCTTTTCTTGGCTCCCTTCCTATCTCTAGGGAAAATCTCCATCCTTCCTCTGCAAAGCACATCTCCAAAGGAAACAACTTGCTCTAGAATTTTTATTTTAGGCTGTGATTCTGATGGACCCAAAACTAGGTCCATCTGCCTTTTAGCTACCTGTGTGTGCATATGAAATATCTATAGTTAAAGATGTTGCTGTGGTTTCCAAATTAACGAGATGAGATACTGCATTGGGGCTTTCCTGGTGGCTCAGTGGTAAAGAATCTGACTGCCAATGCAGGAGACTCGGGCCCAGGCCCTAGGTCAGGAAGATCCCCTGGTAAAGCAAATAGCAACCCATTCCAGTATTCTTTCCTGGAGGATTCCATGGATACAGGAGCCTGTTAGGCTACAGTCCATGGGGTCATGAAAGAGTTAGACACGTCTTAGTGACTAAACAACAACATTGCATCAAATTCTTTCCGTGGTAAAGTAGTGGCTCATCAACTGATGAACACTAGGGCCTCTTCTAGCAGGAAAGGGTGTTCTAAAGTCCTGCCTTATGGAAATGCCTTTGCGTCAAATCAACTATGCTGCATTTTTTTTTCTTCTATAAACCCTAAAGCCCAATCTTTTCAATACTTGTGAGCTTTTTTTAAAAATTTTTAAATAGAAGGATAATTGCTTTGCAGCATTTTGTGGTTTTCTGTCATTTGTCAACAAGAATCAGCCATAGGTACACCCATGTCCCCTCCCTCCTGACCTCCCTTACATCTCCCTTCTCATCCCACCCTTCAGTCTGTTGCAGAGACCCTGTTTGAGTTTGCTGAGTCATACAGCAAATTCCCATTGACTATCTATTTTACATGTGGTCTTGTAAATTTCTATGTTACTCTTTCCATGCATCTCACCCCCTCCCTCTTCTCCTCCCACTGTGTCCTCATTGGCTTTGCTTAGCCTGTGCTCTTCCATCACATCTCCATGATGGGTAAGTGTGTTTGTATCAGGGTGGGGTGGTTTTAGTAAGTTGTCTTAGGCCTGAACCGCATCTTCCCTTATGCGGCTGCTCTAGTACCTGCTGTGATGTTTTCATGGTCCATGGGGATGCAGTTGCGGCGGGGGTGGGGGGGGGGGAGTTGCTTCTGCATAGAAGTCCAAGTGACTATGAGAGAAACAGACTTCTGAGGAACAAAGCAAGCTGCCCTGGGTGTGCAGTTAAGCTTCTGCCAAGCCCGCTGACCCTAAGCCCTTTCTCGTTACTCTCAGGCTGCTGTTGAGCATCTCAGAGTTTGAGGTCTTCTCATTGACTACTCAGAACAATGCTATGGATGCTCCACACTGAGTAACTTTCAAACTTCTAGGCTCCCCTACCCCCGTGAAAACTATTTATAGCCAGGCCCACAGTTCTCAAATGAGGAGCCCTGGGATAAGGCTGTGGATGAATATGTTAGCCAGGCCTCACCTGACCGTGCACGTAACATCTGCAGCTGGTTTGCTGACAGGATCACTTGTCTTTGCCCCGAGAGGAAAGGTTTTGTCAAAGAAGCTATTTCTCTGTCACAACTTTTGTGAACCTTTTCTATTAGTGCATTAATCCTAACAAGTATTGCTGGCTTAGAGGATTTATGTAAGTCAGCCAGGGATCTACCATCATAGTGTTTAATCACCTTCATTGCCATGTGATCTTCAGCTCACAGTGGTTAAACAGTGGTTTAAAGGGCCATGAGTGTCTCACTCCATGCATCCCTGCCAAATTATTTACCTTCTGCTCATTGACTGGTGGAAAGGATCCCAGGCTTGCCCAGTTTCCACCATTCAGTTTCTCAGCCAACCCAACCCCTTCCTCCTGGGCATCTCCTAATCTCAACTGTGTGGGTGGAATCCCAGAGCAAGAAGGGACTGCAAGCAGTCCTACCTCTGGAAGCAAAAGGTGACTTCTTGGTGGCCAGCGGAGAAAACACTTTTCCACCTGCTTGTCTGGGTGTCTTCACCTGCACAAGGACCAGAGGAACAGGGAGAAAATCACCAGTGACAAAACAGCAGTGTTGGACAACAAGCCTCCACAGTCTTCTCCTGGCCAGGGGCCGCAGACCACGGGGACCCAGGAGAGCCCAAATGATGAGAAACACAAGTGCAGGTTCGCTCAGGGTGGGTTCTGCTCATCACAGCAGCTGGCCTGTCCTCACATGGCTGGGACAGGGACCCCATGATACCTCAGGCCTCAGCATAGAAAACCATCCCCCAGGAGTCTGGGTGATTTACAGCCCAGGAGAACCACGCAACTAACAAGAGGTAACAACTCCTCCCCTCACACTGCCACTCTGGAAGGATCCGAGGGCCACCACAATCAGTCAGCTGTCCTCCATGCGCTCATGGTTGGGCCCCACCAGGAGAGGAGATGCAGACAAGCACCTGAGCCCTACATGGTCAGGCCCAGGTTGTGGCAGCTCACAGCAGCCCACCATTGGAGGGGTGTCCAGACACCAGGCTGCGACCCACTGAACTTGTTCAGCTGTTTAGTTTGTGAGATCGAGGGCCAGGGAGTGAGGTCTGGAGTGCGCCTTGCGACCCCATAGCCATGGTGAGAGGACTTCAGTGAGTTGACTCTCGTGCATTCTAGGCTCTCCCAGCTCAAGACCAACTGACGAATCCTTGGGACTGGCCCTGTGTACCCTTTCTCCTTAACCCCCTATGCCTAGAAACCCCAGCCCCTGGGGTTCTCCTGAAGTGACTGCAAAGTCAGAGTTAACTGGGTCTCTCATATCAGTGCCTAGGTGACCCTAAGTCTGGCAACCTGCACCCCTCTGGTGGTCCCACCTCCTTGGGTGGGTTCATCATTGCAGAGCTCGAGGTCCCTTTGGGAGGGGCTGGGGTTGTTCCTGTGTCAGTTTGCTGTGGTCCTTCCCCTGGGGACCCAACCCATCCCCGTTCCTTGGTGCCAGATCTGAAAACTGGCTTTGCGGCCGAACCTGGATGAGGGATTGTGACCTGTTTATTGGGGCGTCTGCCCTTGGCTTCAGTGTCATTTTGGACTGTACCTTGGTTGGTTGCCCATCCATCAAGCCCCCAGGAGGCCACGTTGTATTGACCACATGCCCTGCTCTGTGGGTCCAGCCTCCTGGGGGGCGGCAGTCCTCGTCGTGGCCCCTGGTTCCTCATGGCTCAGTGTGACCCTGCGGCCTATGCTGTAGTCCCTGGGCAGTGAGGATGGGGATTGGGGGGTGTCATCCGTCTCCTCCGCATGTGACCCGGTGAGCCCAGCCTGTGTTGCACAGTGTCTTTGCTCTGCTTGGCGGCCGGACAGTAAGTGACCAGCTCTTCCTGTGGTTCCTGGGCTCTTGTGCAGGTAGTGCTGTGAGTCCTGCCACAGATCAGGGCAGCCAACTCCCCTGCTTCCCGGGATGTAGGGCACCTGTGAGGGAGGACTCCAGTGCCATTTGTTCTCTCGGTGGTGTGACTGGGGGGGCACCAGCTCTTTATGGGGTGAGGGGCTGGGCTGCTGCCACAGGCTCAGAAGTTCAGAGATGTCTGAAATGTCCCAGTCTTCTGGGACCTGCCTCTTGGTCTCCCTGGCCCTCATATCAGGGATGCAGGTTTTCCGAAGATGACTTCTGATGCCAGCAGGTTAGGCCTGCCTTAGTGGAACATTCGGTGTCTTTAAGGTTCAGACACTCCTGTCGAATCATGAGCCCATGTAGGTCCACTGCCTGAAGCTGTCTCAGCTACCAGGAAAACCCTGGGAAACCAGGGTTAGTTCTCACTATTCTTCATCCTAGGCTAGTCATCCCCCTGTGGACAGCAAAGCAAAGAAGTCACTTCCCTCTATGCCTCCCATGTTCCACATGCCTGGATCTTCTCACTTGCTAGGAAATGCCTCTCCCCTTGCCAGCCCAGCAAAAGTTGTAGGAGCTGGGCTGTGGCCTTGAGTCCAGGGCTGAGTGTACACTGACTATCCCCAGGCTGGGTCCTCATAAGCCATGGGGCAGGGGATGTCAACCCTGTACCAAGACCTCATCTCGCCACCTCTCCTCGGACCATGCCAGGGCCAGCCTTCTCAGGATGGCTCCTTCATGAGGCTGTTCCTGTGGGTGGGAGGAGGGTAGTTGGTGCCATAGGCTGGCTGGGGACTTACCACCAAGGACTGGGAGCAGACAGGAGTGGGTGGGGCATCCCTCTACCTGCGATGTTGACCTGATAGTTCCTGCCAGCCCATCAGGAAGTGCAGAGCATAGACAGTCACTGGAGGTGCCACACTGGGCCCCAGTAGTCAGGCCCTCACAGTGCCTGAGGCCTCGTGATTGCTATTGACCGAGTGGGAGAACTGAAACCAGGAACTGGTGCCTGAGTGGTGGCTGTGTGTACACACAGAACACCAAGTGCCTTTGCCCAGGTGGCACTGTGCTCTGCCCTGCATGCAGGCTGGAAGGAGGGGTTCTTGGTGTCTTTTGCATCAGGCAACTGCTGGGTGGGGCAGGAGAACTGCTTCCAATGTTCTGGCCACCCGGCCATCTGCTAGTTGTGGTGTAAGCACAGCCTGATTGGAGAGGGCAGGTCTGGGTACCAGAACTCACAAGACAAGTGCATTCAACTCCAAGGACATCCATCCTACAAGAGGCTCCTCCACCGCGCAGGGCATCAGGTGTCCACTCGCCCCTGAATCACTCAGGGCTGGGGGGTGGGGAGGCTGGAGTGCATCTTGCTGGCAGACCTGTCAAGCTCAGAGCCTGAAACAAGGCAGAGGTTGGGGAGCATGAAGCGTGGGAAAGCAAACACTGACTCCCATCAAGGGACCGTGGAGGCCTTTTTAATGGGAGGGCCGTCTGGGCTGGGTCTTGTAATGAAGAGGGTCTCCTTGGCTGGGAAATTGGAGAAGGGCCCCCAGAAGTGTCAGACCCATGGAGGGAACTGAGCCCAGGTGTGTAGCTGGAGCAAGGTCATGGGAAAGGCCTGGGTTACTAGACTGGGTCAAACTCAGACGTGACTCTTAGGGCATCTGACCTGTGCCCTGCGTACAGTTGCTCGGTGCCCTCACTTGCAGTTTTAAAGGTAAGCCATTGCTTCTCTCCCTGAGAATTCATTGATTCAGTCATTTAGTAAGTCAGTGACTGGAAAAAAAAAACAAAAAAAAAACAAAAAAAAAACAACTTTGTGTGCCTCCCATACACAGGGTCAGGCAACAAGTAGACAAGAGGGACACGCAGGTGAGTCAGGCAATGACCAGCATGGTTCTTTCCAGGATGAGCGGCCCTGGCAGCTGGTGCCTATCCTCACTGAACTAGACAAGGGCACTGTCTTCTTCAGGCTGACTTTTCCTGGCTTGTGTGGAGGTTTCCTATTCTTCCTGACTCCAGAATGAGGTTTAGAGTGATGACATTAGGTCTTTATGTTCTGAGAGTTATTGCTGGGATAGAGGGTGAGATGATTAGATAGCATCACCAACTCAATGGATGTGAATTTGAGCAAACTCTGGGAGATGGTGAAGGACAGGGAAGCCTAGCATGCTGCGGTCCATGGGGTCACAAAGAGTCACAAACGACTTGGTGACTGAACACACACAGAGGTGAAGGTGTTGAGCCCAGATTCTCCTGGCCCCCAGAAGAAGGTTGATTTGCCCTCTGTGGCACTCAGGGTCCCCCAGGCTGAGCAGAGTGGCTGCTGCTGATGCATTGTGCAGAGAAGGAAGATGTGGTACAGGTTTCCCCAGACCAACTCCCCGGCAGCATGAACCATGGTAGCTTCAAGTGCCAGGGGGAGTATAGCAGTGTGGGCCCCTCGCTTACTGCCTTTGAAGGAATAGTGCAGGCAGTGAAGACAAGACGATATGGAAGGCTGGCCTTGGCCTGCTGTATTTCCCAACTAGAGTGTTTTTTAAATGACACTTGGAGGAGGCTTTAGGAAAGGGACCAGCTTGGTGTCTGAAATGACACTAGGGTTTGACAGTAATGTGCTGCTTTCTCATTGTGCCATTTGCTGGCCCACTCTTCCAACTTCACATTTTTGGTTTTTTTTTTTAACTGAAATATAGTTAGGGCTTCCCTCATAGCTCAGTTGGTAAAGAATCTGCCTGCAATGCAGGAACCCCAGTTCGATTCCTAGGTGGGAAAGATCCCCTGGAGAATGGAAAGGCTACCCACTCCAGTATTTTGGCCTGGAGAATTCCATGAACTGTATACTGCATGGTTCACAGGGTTGCAAAGATTCACTCATATTCACATAGTTGATTAACAGTGTTGTGTCTGTCTAGTGTATAGCAAGTTGATTCACTTTATATATATATAAACACTTCCAGATTCTTTTCCATTATAGGTTATTGCAGATATTGAGCATAGTTTCCTGTTCTTTACAGTAGGACCTTATTTATGCATTTTATACATTTTTGTTCAGTCACTCGGTTTTGTCTGACTTTGTGACCCCATGGACTGTAGCACACCAGGCTTCCCTGACTTTCACTGTCTCCCAGAGTTTGCTCAAACCCTTGTCCATTGAGTCGATGATTCCATCCAATCATCTCACCCTCTAGCACCCTCTTCTCCTTCTTTCTTCAGTCTTTCCAAACATCAAGGTATTTTCCAGTAAGTTGGCTCTTCACATCAGGTGGTCAAAATATTGGAGCTTCAGCATCAGTCCTTCCAATGAATATTCAGGCTTGATTTCTTTGGAATTGACTGACTTGGTCTCCTTGCTGTCCACAGGACTATCAAGAGTCTTCTCCAGCATGACAGTAGTATTATTTTATACATAGTAGTGTGCATCTGTTAATCGCAAAGTCCTAATTTATCCCTTCTCCTTCTTTTTCACTTTGGTAACCAAAATTTCTTCTCTGAGTCTGTTCCTGCTTTGCAAATAATTTCATTTGTACCATCATTTTAGATTCCATCAATAAGTGATATCATAGAATATTTGTCTTTATCTTTCTGACATACTCCACTTAGTATGATAACCCCTAGGTTGACACATGTTTCCACAAATGGTATTACTTCATTATTTTTCAGGGCTGAGATGTATTCCTCTGTGTGTGTGTATGTGTGTGTGTGTGTACCACATCTTCTTTATCCATTTATCTGTTGATGGACATTTACATTTTTTACATATCTTGGCTATTGTAAATATTGCTGCAATGAACATTGGGATGCATGTATCTTTTCAGAGTAGAGTTTTGCCTTTTCCAGGTGTATATTCAGGAGTGGGATTGCTGGATCATGTGGTACTTCTATTTGTAGTTGTTTAAGGAACCTCCATACTGTTCTTCATACTGAGTATACCAGTTTACTTTTGCACCAACTGTGTACAGGGTTCCCTTTTCTCTGCAACCTCTCCAGCATTTATTCTTTGTAGTTTTTTGATGATGGCCATTCTTTCCAGTGTAAGGTGATACTTCATTGGACTTTTGATTTGCATTTGTCTAGTAATTAGGAATGTTGAGGCATCTTTTCATGTGCCTTTTGTCCATCTATGTCTTTGGAGAAATGTCTATTCAGGTGTTCTGACCATTGTTTGATTGGATTGTCTTTTTTTTTTTTTTTTGCAGCTTAAGTTTTCATTAAAGGCGGTTAGTAATAAGAGCTTCCATGGCAAAAAGCTGCAGGCAGTGCTTGGTGGGTATGAATATAAAAATGAGGTGTTAAGCCTAATATGTCAATACATTGTAAAATATTTCTTTTCCCTTTCCTCCCCTGACCATTTCGGCCTTCTTAATCTTTCTAACTTTCCCAAGGCATGGAGATGTCAGATACATAGCAATGGATATTAAAATGAATTCTTAAGTCTTATTACCACAAAGATATAGGAACCAAATTTGCATGTTCCTTGCCTTGCACTTATAGCAGGAGCCCAGA